AAAAAAAAAAAATATTAAAATAAATTTCTTATTATATTATTTTATGTATTATTATAATAGTAATTATTACCCATTAGTCCAGCAAAACGTTTAAATGTTCTAGGGATTCGTGTTTGTGGATTTATTTCAATAAGAACATTATTTTCTGTGTGAATGTACACTTGAAGAAGACCAGCACGATTTAGTGGGCTGTCAAATAACATCAATAGACACTGATGAGAAATGTCAGGTCTACAATTTCCTATCTCTCGGCCGTTTTTACGTAATATATGTGAATGTTCATCAGGGTTTAGTAATTCAAAAGACTTTCCTACCTGTATTTTATAAAGTAAATTATAGTTAAAAATTACGATTTCAAGTAATAAATCAATATCTAAATAAAATTACTTTAACAGTTTCCAACTGTGCATTTTCTAGAATAACAATAAGTCGTTTTTCATTATCGTCTTTTACTTCTTTGGCTTTTCTGGTCAAATCAAATTCGGTTTCTTCGTCAGTACGCCTACGTTTTTTACCCATTTTTTTTTAAACAGTATAACAAAAAATATTATAAAAAATTTAAAAATTAATAATATTAAAATAACACGTGTTGTTGACTGCATAGATGATATCATTAATGGTTGAGTGTTGTTTAGATTTTATCATGGTGTTATCATTTAGGTTCTATCACTTTAAACTACTATCACAGAATAATATAACCATAGTCAATAATAGAATGGATATGCCCAAGGTTTATAGATAATATTATAAACTTTGGCATATTATGCCATTCCTATATTAACAACAGATTTTGTGAGCCGGAATGTGGATGAGAGACAGACTGCTTTTATATAGTGTTCTCACTTTAGCAAGGGGTATTATCATTTATTTTATTTCATAATGATAACTGATATCCATAGATAATATATTATCTATGCTGATATCTATGTGATATGATGATAAATAAACAAATAGGTTTGGCGGTTTTTATTTAAACAAAATAGTTATTATTATTATTATTTTATTTAAATTAAATAATATAATATTTCTCTACCGACTGTACCTTACTGAATTGAAAATTAATTGAATCAGTTTATTTATTTTTTAATTTCGATTTTTTGGCGTGGTTTGAACATGTATTTTTTGTCATGTGTTTTCTAAAGATAATAAAGAAAATGTATCATTTCATTTGTGAGTATTCTTTTTGTTATTAATATTATCCCTACTTGAAAATATATAAGTATATTGTTGAAATTGTTTTGGTTTAGATTTCCAAAAAAAGAAATAAAGAGGAATACATGGTGTGATTCCTTGGGTATATCAAAAGCTACAACTAACCAATCAGTGTGTAGTAATCATTTTGATTTAGGATGCTATAATTTTAGTTATAGTAGAAAAATGTTCAAACCATCTGCTGTTCCATCACCGTAAGAATATTATTTATTTATCAATAACTGATAAACATGTAAAATATTATCCAAGATTATTTTATTTTAGTTCAACTAAAAATATTCCAAATCCATTAATATCACCTATTCCTTCTACATCTATAACTATGCATGAGTATGTATTATGTATTTCACTATTTATAATATATTAATATTATTTATTATTGATGATAAGTATGTTCAGATAATGTTGTTTACTACTGTTTAATGTATTAAATATATAATATTATATTTTAGTTCTTTGCAAGTATACCAGACTGCCTAGATCCATAAATTATATCACCATTCCTTCCACATCTATAACTATGCATAAGTATGTATTATATGTATATTTAACATTTATAATTTAATTTATATTAATGATAGGTGAACTGAGATGTGAATATTTTATATTTTTATCAATTAACATTTAGACGTGTGAAAGTCCTGTTGATTATTCTGTTCGACCCCCATGAAAACAAAGAAAAATGTATTCTATGAGTATTCTCCAAACATGTATGTATATGTTATCTTTTTTGATACCTTGTTTTTTTATATAATAATAATTTTAGTATTATTATTAAAATTGTTTGACATTTTGTCAGGTGTCTTAAGAAAAAAGAGTCTACAACACAAGTAGAAATGGCGATTTTACATCATTTGATTTTGGAACTCCTAAACGGTCATCAAGAAATCTGAAAAATGTTAAGAAAATAGTTCAAAACTTGAGACAAAAAAAAACAAATATTTAAATAAAAAAAACAGACATCTAGAAAAAAAATTGCATGAATGAATGATATGTTTGCAGTTCTGAAATAAAAATCTTTAATAACTGAATTTATAGCTGATAATATGAAGGTATTAATACTAAGAAATATCATTATAATATAATTGTTGGGCAGTAAAATAAATGTTATATGGTAGTATAAAATGTTGAAATTTTTTAATAATGTAAAATTATTAATCATTATGTTTTATTTGTTTTAGAAGGTACTAAAGTAATGTGATATATATGTTGGATGTTCTCTGTTTCTTCTTATTTGTTGTTTATTGTTTATTACTAATAATGTACTAATATTTATATACTTATAAACTATAATGGTTCATACAAAATTTATTGACTAGTCATTTTAGATTTGTAATTTAACCTTATGTTTATGATTCATTCTATAGTTAGTATTAACTTTTTGTAATTAATTAGTATTTTATTGTATTCTAATATTGTCTTAACAATACTTGTGTTTTACTGTCTTTTATTATATATGTTGAACACAATAGACATTAGACAAGAAAAAACGTAGGTAACTAGGAATTCGGCTTTCAGGTTTTTAACTTTATCAAACATTGTATTGTACAATTCTAATTCAAGATTCTAGATTTCGATCTAAAGCGTATCAAAACAAGCTGAAATATTATCAAGATGAAAAATTTTAAATCATACCATATTATAATGGCATATAATCATGTTCATTTTACCTATTGATAATTTATTTTAAATTTGTTATTAGTTCATTACGTATTCTTTGTACCATCATATGTTGTGTTCTATAACATTCAAAGTTAAATTAACATTTTGGTAGTTTGATACGTATGAGTACTAGATTAGAACAGATAATTACATATTTCGTAAATGGTAAAAAAATTAATTTTCATTATCTATTGTAAACAATATAAAGTAATGTTTGTTTGACTTTGGTTTTCATTAAACTTAACGAGAATTTATAAAGTAAAATAAAATAATAACATGAAATAATTTTTTTTAAATATTGTAAATATTTTATAGAAATATAAGATATATTATGAATGACGGGTAATTTCCTATTTCTTTTACTAAGTCAAAACTCAAAGCGTAATGTAAAATCACCAGACACTTTTTTTTTTTAATAAATGTTTGATAGTGTAGTTGTCAAACATCAAAATAGTTCTAATTGTACATTTGTTCGCTGAGAACACGTGATAATAATAATATGATTGTTATATAGTTATATATATTATTGTCCTTATTACTAACTTGTTTATTTCATATTTCTAAAAATGACGACTGGTATTTAAATATTTAACAAAACATAGAACATCAAAGATAATTAATTTCTTAACTCAGTACAAAAAAAAAAAAAAAAACGAAAATACTTATAACGTCATGGAAGACTTAAGCAGTAGCAGTACAGAGTATGATTTCAATGGAAATTGAAAGGTATTACAAAATAAATGAAAATTAATTAATGTTTTTATAATAACTTTTTTCTTATTGTAATTTTAACATTTTATAATAATATTACATTGGATTATTAAAATATGCAATTATTAATTAGTGTAACAACAATAAACAAAGTAACTGTTAATATTTGTGCTTACCTGGGGCGAACGTAGGGGGGGGTTTGGGGGTTTAAACCTAACCCCTAAATAGCAGGTACAAAAAATAAATTATCTGATCTACAAATTTATTACTAATAAAATTTCAAAAAAATTAAAATAAATTATTAGTTATTAAAAAGTTTCCCTTCTCCTGTGGTTTGTAAATCAATGTATACAGTAAAATTATTATTAAAATGTATGATAAGTATGACAGTATGTTATAATTTATTAATAACTGATCGACATCGGTGACTGCCAATTCGATGATATACGTATTAATCTATGATATGTAATATGTATAATATGTACAATGCGTATACTATTAGTGCTTAAAATAAATAGTTAAAGTGTAATACAGTATGAATAATATGATATTAATGAATACTTACTTTTAATTTATTTTACTTGTATACATATTAAATTTTATACAAAATAAACCGGGGATATCCAGCTAGTGTTATCGTAGTTTACAATTATCTCTCTAAATTCTCTTTAACCTCCGGCAAATACCAGAGAGTATCTGAACCTACTTCCGGGTAAGGATGAACGGAGATTATTAGGTCGGGGGAGAATAGGTTGTCGAATTACACATTCAGATAAATGTGTTCGATAAAGGCAAATTAAATTAGATCAAAATAAATAAGGCAATTATTCAAATAGATGGCAATTTTATGGAACAGGTGTAAAAAATGGTCGGTGCTTTTATCGTCGATTGCCGCAGTCGTCAGTGTCGCCGTTGATTGCGGTCTTTACGGTCAATGAACAATCCTTCGATAGTCAGCGGTCAAACACTAAGGCGGAGTATGCCAATAATTTGCCGTGAAAATTACGGTTTTACGTGCTTGTTCGTCGATCGATTAGCGCTAATGGATATTCATGTGTCGCTCGATGCTGATAGCTGGTTTCGTAAGGTCCACATTCAAGACTTCAAACTGGAGATGATATTGACATCTTAATGGTATGGCTGGAACTGATCATTTGACATTTTATCTGTCTCAGTACGTATTAATAGGTTTTTTCGATGTGAGCGCACTCTCCCTCATTGGTCGATCATCAGCGCTCTCTGCCGAGTGTTCAACTGTCCTTCCTTTTCTTGTGTTTTGTTAGTACTTCCCTATATAGTCGTTATGTATTCGATGTATTTGTGTGTATCAGGTTTGCCTCGTTACAGCCCCCCCTGAATTCGACACCAGGCCTGACTGCTGAAATTAGGTTCGATTTCTTTCGTCCCTTTGTCGACATATATGTGTATTGAGTTTGTCCCGTTACATGTTACTGGTCCAAATAATGAATAATACTAACCTAATTTTTTTAAACTTATTTAACTATTAATAAATATATGCTATATAATATGTTTATATGTATGAATTTTTTAAAAATAATTACATTTAAACTACATATTTTCGTTGTTATTAAGTGGAGTCATTTACGTCTGGAAGTTATTGGTGGGATGAACAAATCAATTTTTAATTTGTTTCCGTTTTTTATTTTTACTAAAATTAGTAATATAAGGTATAACAAGGATATAAGGTCAATGAGTTTTCATTATTCTATTAATGAGTGTTATACTAATTAATTTATTTCATGTTCTAATAAAATGTATTTTTAAATCGAGTATTATGAGTAGGAATATGACAGTAAAAACAACTTATGAATTTGAGACACTCAATATTATCAATGAAAATTACAAGTGTATTAAGTAGGTAATAACTAACGACGTTGTTGTAAAATTTCAAGGTTAAGAACAGACAAAATAGAAGACATTTTAATGTAAAGACGCGTAGGTAATAATTTTTGTTGATGTTTTTAGAATTAACATTCATGACCTAATTGATTTGGAGACGTTATTGAACTATATTTTAAAATAGAATGTTCAATAAAAGGATTTAAAGCATGTTTAATAGCAAAGTCAGCAAAATTCTGAGTAATAAAACCCAAGATTTCGTTTGATCTGTGAATACGTTTAATAACGTTGTTAATGTGGTGGTTAAATTTAAGTTTAGACATCT